CATTGAAAAACCGACAAAATTTAATGGTCGCCGGGTCGATTGCCGGTTCGAACCCAAGGGCAAAAGAGTAAGTCTAAACGAAAGAATGACCTTCACGTCCTTCACGGTAGGTGGTTATTCAATTGTTTTTAGCAAGAGCCATGATGGGGAAATCAGATTTTCATCGACATTCTCTGCGAACAAGAGGAAGATGGCCATGTTTAACAAGGGATCTGTAAAGATCAACATGTTCATTGTGATCTCTCTCTTGTTTAAGTCATTGTTCCAAACAGTACAATCAACAACAAAATAAAATTTTTGGGAAACAATCTCAGAAACTAAGGTTCTGCCAAAGGTTCATTGGCATCTTTGGCTTGGCCTTTAGAAGAAGATTTAGGAGTAGCAGACACCCTAGTTCCAGAAGAAGCAGATTTTGAAGAATCTCCTCTGATGGAAGAAGTATTTCTGTTTGCTATAGAACCAAGGCTATGAAGCCTTCCATCACCTCTTCTATTCCTAACTGGAGCCACTGTAGAAGGAAGATCGTTGACTATAATAGCACGACGAGGGGAAGCAGTAGAAATAGTAGAAGTAGAAGATTTGGAAGCCATTGAAAATAAGAAGGAAGGGAATTTGAAGAGAAAGAGAGAATTTTGAGAAGATAACGAAAAAGTAAGAAAGTAGGAGGAAAGTTTTGAGGGTTTATGATTCAATATTTATAATGGGAGAATATTCAGAAAGTTAAGGGACTATCTATATTAGTGGAAAATATGATGAGAGTTATTACAACAAAGAGGAATGACCGTGTTCAAAAGGTGTAGACAACACCCCAGGGTGGTTTGCATATGTACTATACATATTAGCTTCGAGGTTACACACAAGAATATAGCCAAGGGGCTGATGATTAAAGTCATTAATAGCTACGAATATAAAAAAGATCTATCAATTTCTAATTACACGTGATTTGTTATTATTATCTCAATCGTTACAAATCAATCACGTAACAAGCAATTAAAAGAAATGGGTAAGAACTAAACAAGGCAAATGGTTACGAGTGATAGTATTACTTTGTGGCACTAGTGTGCCACAGAAGTCATGGGTGATCATTGGTCCGATGCTAAGCCCGTCAGAAGCAACCTCAGCAGAAAGCCACTTTTATCCCCCCTCCCCCTCCCCTTCCCCTTCCATATTTTATATCCCCATAAAAAAATCAAGTCATATTGTCAATTATAGAATTCTCTTAATGTTCTCTATTATTGGAAGACTATTTATTTTCTATTGGAGGAAGAATGCAATCATCAATAAGATTTCTATTTCGTTTACTCTCTCAGTTTATTTACTTATTATTATTTATTCCTTTTTCGCATCAATTATATTTGAAAAAGTGAAGTAAATCGGTTATTAAAAACCCTAATTATTTTATTTAATCGCTATGGTATCAAAAATTATTTCTTGAGTTACATAATATTCTTTGAAAATTATTGAACCTACACTCAGTATGTTGTCATACAAACTTGTATGCACGCTTTTTAAACTTACTCCTTACTAGTACATATTAACCAAACTTTCTTAACTTTAATCCCTAAGGTTAAACATCCTTCCAACTTCTCCTAATACTGTCCCATTGGGCTTTGCAACACTATCTACAAATAAATAACTAAAACCCTGATTAATAGAATTAGGCCCTTTCTACCAACACTGATTCATCCTACTCAATGTAGCTTTATTCCTGATCGACGTGTTGTGGATAATACGATTATTGTACAAGAAGCACTACATTCTTTCCGCAAAACCAAGAGACGATCCATAAAAATGATGTTAAAACTGTACCTCGGAAAATCTTTTGATCATCTTGAATGGTCCTTTATTACTCCCGACAAAAGCTAAATTATCCCAAATTCATTTTTAAACTCATTATGTCTCGTGTTACTACTTCCTCCATCTCTATTCTAGTTAACGGTAAACCCACCCCTTTCTCTCAACTCTTCCGTGGCATTCTACAAGGTGATTCTTCATCTCCTTACCTATTCATTATTTGCATGGAAGCACTCTCACAATTGACTGATGAAGCTATCCACCTCCAGCGGTGGACTCCGATAAAAGTTGCTCGTGTTAGACCCTCATTTTCTCACTTTCTCTTTGCGTAATCTTGTTTTGTTTGCCAAAGTAGACCTACTGAATGCTCAGACCATCACAAATATCTTTCACCACCTATTTGCTTAATCTGGGCAACTTATCAATTTTGCAAAGTCAATTCTCTGTTCAAAAAATGTATCACAACTAAAAATACTATAGTGTCAGCTCTGAATATACGCACAACTTCAAATTTTGGCAAATATTTGGGCTTCCCAAAGTCCAATTATCACCCAAGGTCTTCTGACTACCAACATATCCTAAACCGTATGAATAATTGTTCTCCAAGGTTGGAAAACCAAATCCCTCTCTTTAAGTGGCCGCTCCACCATCATTAAGTCGGTTCTTAATTCTATTTCCACATACGCTATACAAAATAATCTACTTCCACCCAAAATACTTCATCATGTTGACCACATTCAAGGATATTTTCTGTGGGGTTCAAACGTTTTCCACAACAAAATCCATCTCCTTAATTGGGACACAGTTACTACGCCTAAACAAAATAGTGGATTGGGTATCCAAAAACTTACCCTAAAAACATGGCTATGTTGCCTAGCTTAACATGGCGTTTCATCCAACATCCCTCTAGCCTTTGGGCTTACATCCTACAAGGAAAATATGGCCATCCACATCCCACCCACTGACTCACACATCTAGAAGAGTCTCACCAAGGCTGCGGCCCTATACCATGCAGGCACGGCATGGAATATTGGTAATAGACACCACATGAGCCTTGTTATGATCATTGGATCCCCCCAAACTTATCACTAAGACAATTAATACAAGGTTATTTACTCTCTCACAAATCTATACAACCCCTCAATCATATTCTATTTCCACCTAACTATAATTTGCCTACTCTCAGTTTTGAATTCCCACAATATATTTTTCTACTCATCTACAACACCTACGTGCCTCTATCCCCTGACCGTAACGACACACTCCACTGGCGCCCCACCTCTAATGCAATATTTACCAATGTCCCTGTCTATTTTCTTTTTCTCCACTCACACAGTATCTCCCTCCCTACATTCAATCATTCTTGGATATGGAAAATCTATATTCTCACTAAAATTAAGCATTTTCTATGGCTCCTCCTTCATGGAAAATTACCTATAGCTGCTCTATTATCCAACCGGAAAATTATCCCCAACGCCACCTGCTCCATATGTCTCAATCCCTGGGAAGATATTCTACACGTTTTCACCAGCTGCCCCCGGCAACTCAAATTTGGCATTACTTCCACTTCTCTCTCCCCCAAAACCATCATATTTACAATGCCTTTGCACCTCTGATGCTTCGGCCTACACTCACTCCCACATCCATCTCCATCCTCGCCCCTTTTATCCTATGGCATATCTGGCTCCCTCGCAACAACAACTTTTTTAAACATTCAGCCGTACCTGTTTCGTCTCACTCACGCCATTGAATTTGCTTATTTAGCAACTAATCTACCCAAACCGCATACAACTACAACCATCCAAGTGTGTTGGACTCCTCCTACCACTGATTATAAATTTAATACTGATGGTGCATTCAACCCTACCACCGGCAATGGAGGAACGGTTGGTGTCGTCAGACTCCACTGGACAATGGAATATGGGCTTCTCCCAGCCGTTGTACCTCACCAATGTTTTACACGTTGAATTATTAGCACTTCTTTTTGGCTTACAACTTGCAATCACTCACCACCTCACTCCACTCACAGTGGAGACTGACTCTCTGGTCACTCTCTTACCCACAGGTCATTTAAAGTACTCACATCATTTTGATGCATGCAGGTTGGTGCTCAGTGAACTCCAGACTATCACCGATCCATCACACATTTAGGGAGGGGAATGGAGTGGCGGATCAACTAGCATGTTTTGGAAGTCACGTGGCTACTGAACTACAACACAATGTTATGCTTTTTGACCCCCCCCCCCC